GTAATAGTAGTAATAATAGTAATAGTAGTAATAGTAGTAATAGTAGTAATAATAGTAATAATAGTAATAGTAGTAATAGTAATAATAATAGTAATAGTAGTAATAATAGTAATAATAATAATAATATTAATAAAAAAATAATAGAAATAATAATAATAGTAACAATAATAATAGTAATAATAATAATAGTGATCATAATAATAATAATCGGAAAATAATAGAAATAATAATTATAGTAATAATAATAATAAATAATACTAATAATAATAGTAATAATAATAATTTGTATAGAAGCTCTGAGCCCTTACCTTCGCGGACCCGCAAGTCGCAGCACCGGGTCCCTTTCTTCGTAATTTGCTGTTAGAGGAATCCGACTGCTGCCCGCTTTGCTCTTGGGTAGGTGTCAATATTATGGTCTCTTTTGGGGTACCCTAATTAATAGGTGCCGTATTATAATAAGGACCCCAAAAGGGACCATAATTTTGACAACCACCCTCTTGAAGGTGGTTTCGGCCGGCTGGTGGTGGTGGCCTCAGGTTTGACAAAGGAGGAGGGTCTCGAGTGGTGTGGAGGGCCCGGGTTCGAGCTCGAGATACCGGCTACGGCCTTAGGCTTGATGGTTTGGTCCTCCTGACTCTTCTTCTTTTTCGTCACCTTCATGTTAAATCTCTTGCTCCTCTGACTTGCTAGTGCTGCCGCTAACCCTGCTGCTCCGCTTCCCCGTCCTTATCCTACTCCAACTCATACGTACTCCCACTCCTTGTCCTACCCCGACCCCGTGCCCCTACTCCTGCTCCTACTGCCGGCAGCATTGCATCGACGGCTGCTACAACAGTTGTGCGCGGTCGTCTTCGGACCTCTGCAAACCCAAGCGCAAACGCGAACCCGCCAACCGCCGACGAGAAGCTTCGCCTTCTCCGACGGTGTGCCCACATTGGGCCAGAGATATTTCTAGGTTGAGGAGAGAGAAAACCACAAGAGGCACGCATGCCGCTTGGCTTCGCTTGGCAACCGCGCAAGTGGAAGAGCGGAGTCGGCGCCGGAACTGCGATGGCTGAGGTCCACCGTTATTGTTATGATATGTTAGTCTGTTAGTCTGTTAGTACATGTTGAACGATGGTAGTACTCCGAGATTGTCTCTATGATGGTTACGACCACTGTTGTGGTCGGCAAGCGCTTGCTATGCCAATGGCGACTCGGCCCCAAAGAGCGGTTCGGCGCGTTTCACAAACATGATGTGCTTGCTTTGGTGGGTCTTGCCCACCGATGCCATATTTACACCACCACAGTCTGGGGCCAGGCGAAGCTTCTGCACAACCAACGGCTCAGAGGGCGCATCCTTACACTTCCGGCGCATGTGGTGTAGTGTCCGCCCGTCCTGTCTGTTGTTTGTCAGCGTGCAGATATTGGAACACGAAAGACAGACACACTTGGACGCTTCTGCCATCCCATCGGACAGTGATGGACGGAGACGCTTGGGGTTTGTCATTCGCGATATTCCAAGCGCTCACGACCAATTCGGGCAAGTTGGAGTCCCCAATGGAGTCACTCGAAACTGCATTGGCCATGTGTTCCTGTGTCTGCATACGGGCCGTATCCTTCGTGCAAATCATCGAGCCGTCTTGCACTCCTGCCGCCAACAAGTAGCGAACCGTCCGTTCTCAAAGCTGCGTTCTTGAAGTTGTAAGTCAACACATTCACGAGGACGATGTTGCAATGGCGGATGCAGACGTTTGTAGTTGAAAAGATGGCCGTGAAATTTGCTTCCGCTTGCGCACCAGCAGTGTACCAAAATCGCCCACACTGCAGCCTGCGTTTGAACAGGCTTGTGGCTTGCGTTTCTGCAAGGATATGTATTCCGGTGATGCCCCCATGGAGATGATGCTGGACATGAGACCCCAGAAAGGTGTCAACGACGAAGTTTGAAGTCAGAGCGGCAAAGTGGAACGTTTGCACCACAACATGCAGCAGCTAGACTTGTGGAGGAGAGGCAACAAGCTGTCGGCAACTTTGCACATCCGGATCATCCAGCCCGAATGTCTGGCAAGGTTACCAACTCCTGCTGGTACTGACAGGCATGTACAGAATTTTGCAGATGCGGGATGCATGAACTGTTTCCTGCAAGTTGGGTATTCCTGTCGCAGCCCTGGTTCTTGTCTTCGCGTCGCCGTGGCCAGAACCCAATGGTTTGCCGATGCCACGGCAGAGTTCGATTGGGGAGGGCATGATTCTGACGTGCCATGTGGCTTGGGCGGCTTGAGAGCCACAAAACTTGTGGAGGGGAGCGGTGCCGAAAGGAGTTCTGCACATGGCTGTGATGCCTCGTGAACTTCGGAACAGAGGGCAGTCCGCCCTATTCTTGTATTTCCAGGCTTCTTGCACCAAAGCCCATCCAAAAGGTCTATGCTTGCATGCCGAGAACACGATGATTGTCAAGTCCCTGCAAAGACTTTTGCCCTCTCCGGGTCCCGGTGTTCGATTGCCATGCATCGCACGGTTAGGTGCTTGGTCACCACACCGTCTTTGCAATGGTGTTGCGGCTGCTCTGCTTGCCATGGTGCACGGCAGGACTGCCCCGAAAGCAGCTCTGGAAATCGAGGCGTGTTATGCTGCCTTGTCGGTGCGTATGAACCGGTTGAGTACCGTGACACTTTTGGCCCAGGCTCCTGCGCGACTGCGTCGCTCACCTATGCAGCTCGCAGTATATGTGCACGCTTGGCTGCCATGTGCATCTCTCTAAAGATTTATCGGGTGCGTGCGGGCGTTTTCGGCAACACGATTGCAACACGAAGGGCGCAACGCTGGTTTCCAACACCCGCATGTTTCTACGTGGTGGAGCGATACCAGTTCTGGTGTCTTCACTGCTGGTCATCGTTTCCGCAGCCGGTCTATGAGTTAGGACCCCCTTCGCCCCTTTTGGGTAATAATGCCACCGTCAACCCATTAGATGATCATTCCTAGGATCCCCCCTACACTTCACCGATATATCACTACTACTACCCCATTATCAACACAATTTTAGGAATAACCATAACCTCATCTATTATCTCTAAGGTGGCATTATTACTCAAACTGGGCAAGGGGTTCCTTATAGAATTTGGTTCAGGGTTTGGGGTAAAGGGCTTTGGGCAAATGCTTTATCTTTGCGGATTCGCCACTCATGTTTGTTAGAATCCCTAAACTCCGCTCTGGGGCTGCAACGACGACGACAACAAGGTCCCACACTTCAGGAGGACTGATGTCGTTTTGCAATTTGCCTGGTCAGGGCTGCAAGTGTTTTCCCAAGCACGTCATTGTGCTGCATTTAGGCCCAAGCTCTGCGCCAGTTGCTCAGAAGTGCTGCATCCTTTCCACTTGCTTTGGCTTGGCATCTCCTTCATCATAGAGTCGTGAATAGAATAGACAAATGACAGTAGCCAGGCTGTAGATTTCCACGGCGATGTCGACGAGCTCCAGTCAGATGTGGTGGTACAAGATCGACCAGCAAGAAGCCCACTTCATCCAGTTCGACGAGAATGACATTGTAGCCACCGTCAAGGAGAAACTCATCTTTAAATGTCCCAGCCTGCAAAAGCTGGACCCTGGCCAGATCACCATCAGAAAAGCGTCCGGAGAGGCGCGAGTCAGTAGTAACCCATGATTTGACTCATGACACCGAGTTCCTGTGTCATTAAGATTGTTTTCGTATCGTTTGTGCCTCTGTTGAGGCATTGCCGGTGGGCTCCAAGATATCCCAGTTCGTCACTCAAGGCGTTGGCACAGAGCCTGAGACCGCTGTGCTGGTCGCTGAGAAGACGTCAGTTGCGGCAGGTAGGTCGTTTTTGTACTGATTCTTTGTCAGGACTCACCTACTACCGAGTAGTTGGACACTTAAGTGTGGCTGCACTGTTTGCCCTCGCAGGTGTAGCCACTCATGTTGCGCCCACCGCAGCAGCGGTGCGATTGTCGCTTTCCGAGGAAGCCTTTCGGCAGGTGCAACCATGGCAGTGGATCCGGTGCAGAATCTCATACAGGTCCCGTGATCTTACTGGTTCGAAGGGAGACGCTAGTCTGTTTCAAAGGTGCGCATTTGCTTTGAAGCTGTTGTCTTGATCAACCATGACCCCAACAGGTCCACTGATGCTGGCATCAAGTCGCGCTTGTGTGACCACATGCGACAATACACGCTTGGCACCTTGGGTGGAACCGTGCAACGAAGAGAGGATGCGACCGTGGTGACCATTGAAGGCACTTTCGACAATATGCCAGCTTCGAGGATTCGAGTGCCTCGAACAAAGGCAAGGGCAAGGGTAAGCGCAAAGGCGAGGGGAACTTCAACCCTTCGTCGCTGCGCCACTCCCAATCGCTCAGCCGTTTCAGGGAGTGGGCCGCCGTGCGACACGCACAAGTGACCTCGCTCGCCGAACTTGTCAGAGCAATTTCTGATCCGCGGGATGGGCACTACCTCGCTGCCCCACTGCAAGAGGCGCTGCTCGCCGTGCTGCTGGGCACTTCTGCTGCTTCCACGCTCGAACGCCTGGTTGATAGCCTCCGGCGAGTGCCCCCTGCACCGGCTAACGCGTCAAGCTCCGATGCTACTGCCGCAAACCGGGACGCTGCGGCACGGCCTGCGCCAGCCCCGAG